AGTAGGATTGCCCAACCTTCCTTCCGAGGAGTGGTTGGTGGGATTGAACCGCCAGCCTTCTGGTTAGCAGTCAAGTGCTTTTAGCCACTATGCTACCAGAGCTCCCCTGCCCCAGCTAGGCCCCTTATTTTGAAAGTAGTTGTGCTGTTTCATTTTTTTATCTATATAAACAACAAGATGGTCCAGATCAAGTTATCTTAAAAAGCCCATTCTTTACACCTGTAGCTCCTCAAATGTGATTTTATTTCTCTAGGTTAGTATAGCTTAACTCAAAACCAAATTCACTGCCATTGAGTCAATTCTGACTCACAGTAACCCTCATTGGGTTTCTGAGGTGGTAAATCTTGATGGAAGTAGATTGCCCCATCTTTCTTCTGAGGAGTGGTTGGTGCATTTGAACTGCCAGCCTTCTGGTCAGCAGTCAAATGCCTTAAGCCCTGTGCCAGCAGAACTCCTTAGTATAGACTAAGCTTAGCATTAATTTTTTCAAGTGTCTTCCGTAGGTCTCATAGTATGTAAATTTCTGTGCTTTCATTCACAGACTCAGACCGAGAAACTTCAGTTTCTTATTTCTTTTCATTTCCTAGTTCTTTTCATTCTGTCTTAGTATGTGTGTTTGTTAGAATATCTATAACAAAACCTTTTTCTGTTTTATCCATTCTTCATATACTAGTCAGCAACACTAGTTACTTTCGCCATGTCTTATAACCATCACCACTATCAAGTTCTAAGTTTTTCAATCACCCTTAGCAGGAACTGGGTGCCACTTAAGCATTAACTCTGTTCTCCCTCCCAGCTGCCCCTGGGAACCATTTCATCTCTATCTGTATGCCTATTCTAGATGTTTCATGTGGTAGTTAAGATTGTGTGTCAACTTGGCTGGGCCTGGTTCAGTGACTGGGAAGCTGGATGTAGTTATTCCCCTTGGTGAGATGGTGCAAAAAGGGCAAGGAGGCCACATGTTCTGACCTCCTCTAATCCCACAAGAGGAAGACAGAATCACCATCAATAGCCCAAGGCCTATTCCTATGAGGCCAGATATGCTGCCTCCCTCCAGCCCTTTCTCCAACCGTTCCTCCCAAAGCACCCACCACCTCCTGGGTTCGATAATTCGCTGCAGTGGCCACACAGAACTCACAGATTATGGGGTTTATTAGGGAAGCACCATGCTGCAATTCAAAGTTCAGGAAAAAAAACGCTCAGTCTCTCTCCCAGCCTGCCGTCTGTCAGCCAAGTCTCTCACAGTCTCTCCCCCAGCAGTGCATGTCCCTCGGTGTCTTACTCAGCAATGCATGTCTCTTTTGTCTCTTTCCCAGCAGCGCGTGTCTCTTTCAGGGACGCATGTCTCTTTCAGCAGCACATCTTCCTCAGCCAGCAGTCAGAGAGAGAGTTCTGCCTCTAGGAGACCTCCTTTTGAGCCTGGCAGAGTGGCCAAACTAGCCAATCATAGCATCAGAACTCTAAGCACCTGAGAGAGAGTGGGCACCTCCCAGAACATTGTTTTGTGCCACTCCCAACAGAAATACTCCAGGTGGACAACTTTAGCAATCAGGAGCTCCTCAGTTGCCCATAGCAAATCCTACCTTGGAGTTTACAAAGACTTATGGGTAGAAAAGCCACACTAAGTAATTTACTACACTGAAGATGGGTAATTCCATGGTGGAATCTACTATGAGCAGCTGAGTAGCTGCCTTAGGCATGTAGTCCGCTTCCTGTATATAAGGAGAAGCCTTGGGGAATGGTCTCTAGCTTATGGCACGCTTGGACTCTGCATGTAGCCAAGCCTTTGTTCAGCAGCCTGCTGTGCTCTGCTGATCTTGGGACTTTTAATGGACTTCAATTAATGGCCTGCCGTGTGGTTTGGTAACATTGAGACTGTGCCTTATTACTTATCAGCCTTGGGCTTATCATCCCTGGCAGCCAGCAGCTGAGTGAAGAAAAGCCTCCAGCTTCAGTGGGCCAAGAGCAGGAGGCAGAGCTGAAGCCCAGGGGTTGAGGGGCTTTCACTTAGCCCCTAGAGCCTGGCACTTTGAACTCAGACTTAAAGCCTTCAAACTGTAAGAGAATAAACTCCTGTTTGTTCAGGCATCCCATTTGTGGTATATTCTTGTCAGGGCGGCACTAGGGAACCAGAACATCTCATGTAAGTGGGATCATACAGTACTTGGCCTTATGTGGCTGGGTTATTTCAGTTAGTGTAATGTGTTCAGGTCTAGCCATGTGATAGCATTTGTGAGAGCTTTGTTTCTTTTTATGACTGAACAATATTCCAGTTTATAGATATATACTACATTTTATACATTTATCTGTTGATGGACATTTGGATTCTTTGCACTTTCTAGCTGTTATGAATAATGCAGCAGTGAACGTTGGTATAAATGGACCTGTTTGAGTCCCTGGTCTCAAGCCTTTTGGGTAAATACCTATTATTGTTAGGTGCTGTTGAGGTGGCTTTCAGACTGATGTTGTTGTTGTTATGTGCCGTTGAGTCAGCCCTGACTCATAGCAACCCCTCCTTGGGTTTCCGAGGCAGTATCACTATGGAAGTAGGATTGCCCAACCTTCCTTCCGAGGAGTGGCTGGTGGGTTTGAACCGCCAGCCTCTGGTTAGCAGTCAAGTGCCTTAGCCACTATGCTACCAGAGCTCCCTTCAGACTGATAGTGACCCCATATGACAGAGTAGAACTTCTGCTTAGGGTTTTCTACACTGTAATCTTTGTGGGATGCTGAAAATTCCTTGGAGTGCCAGAAGAACCAGCATATCTATCCTGGAAGAAGTGCAGCTGGAGTGGTCCTTCAAGTCGAGAATGGTTAGACTTCATCGCACCTACTCTGGGCATGATGGTGTCGGAAGGGACCATTCCCTGGAGAAGGTTATTATGCTTGATAAATTAGCAGATCTGCGAATAAGGGAGAAAGACTCAACAAGATGGACTGACACAGTGACTGCAGTGATGGGCTCGAGCAGTGCAGGGACTGTGAGTACCTAATAACAACATCCAGGATATGAAAGAATTCCTACCATTCAACAACATAAAAATGAACAAACCATTTAAAAAAATTGGCAAAAATCTTAAGTAGCTGTTTCACCAAAGAAGATATACAAATGGCCAATAAACACATGAAAAGATGTTCAATGCCATTAGTCTCTAGGGAAATGCAAATCAAAACCACAGTGAGATAACACCTTAGTGCTACTCAGATGGTTACTATCTGAAAAACAAAAAACAAGAATTGGGGAGGATGTGGAAAAATGGATTGTAAAACGGTATAGCCTCTGTGGAAGGAGTTGGTGGTTTAAGGCAGAAGTTTCATTTCTAGGAACCTGGTGGCACAAATTAAGCACTTGCCTGCTACTGAAAGGATGGTAATTTGACCTTACCCAGTGGCTCTGCGGGAGAGAGAGAGAGAACTAGTGATACACAAAGATTGTTGCTCTTAGGTGCCATTGAGTTGGCTCTGACTCATAATGCCCCTATGTACAACAGAACAAAATACTGCCTGGTACTGTGCCGTACTCAAATCCTTGCTATGTTGGAGCCCTTCATTGCAGCTGTGGGGTCAATCCATCTTGTTGAGGGGTTTCCCCTTTTTGTACCACAATTCAAAGATATCGTTTCTTTTTTGGGCTTCCTTTTTTGTTGTCCAGCTTTCATGTGCATGTGAGGTGATTGAAAACACCATGGCTTGCATCAGGAGCACCTTGGCCTTCAAAATGACCTCTTTGCTTCCTAGCACTTTATAGACATCTCCTGCAGCAGATTTTCCCAGGGCAGTATGAAGTATGATTTCCTGACTGCTGCTTCCAGGGTTGTTGAATGTGGATCCGAGGAAAATGAAGTCCTTGACAAGTTCAATCTTTTCTCCATTTATCGTGCTGTTGCTTATTGGTCCATTGGTGAGGATTTTCATTTTCTTTCTGTTGAGGTATTATCCACGCGGAAGGCTGGAGTCTGTGACTTTTCATCAGTAAATATTTGTTTCAAGTCATCTTCACTGTTAGCAAACAAAGTTGTGTCATCTGCATTTTGTAGGTTATTAATAGTTGTTCCTCCAGCCCTGATGCCATGTTCTTCTCCATACAGTCCAGCTTCTCAGATTATTTGCTCAGAATGTAGAATGAATAATAGGGTGAAAGGATACAAACTTGATGTACACGCTTCTAGATTTTAAACCATTCAGTACCCCTTTTTCTGTTCAAATGACAGCCTTTTGGTCTGTGTACGAGTTCCTCATGAGAATGAGTAAGTGTTCTGGAGTTCCCACTTTTTGCAATGCTGACCATAATTTGGTATGATCCACATATATCCTGGATATTAAACCCTCATCAGACATATGATTTCCAAATATTTTCTCCCATCCTGTATGTTCTCTTCACTTTGTTGATAAAGTCCTTTGATGCACAGGATTTTTTTTTTTTTTT